TAACCATTTGCAGTTACTCGAATGCGGGTTAGTTGTTCCAGAGCAGATCTGCGATGTCCATAGAGTACATAGTGTCAATACACGTTGGCTTATTCATGATGCTTAATTGGGTTCATGTTAGAGTGAATTTTGTGATGGGTATGCAGCGATGTCGTGATGGAAGCATGAATCGCTTCTACTCGCCTCGGAGATAGTCCGACGTGACCGCTCTTTTCACCGTATCCCGTAAGTGGTAAGTCTCAACGAAAAGGTTGACGACCAGGCCGCTCGCCGCTCAGCCGCGAGCCAGCGTTCCCTGTCGGCATATACATAGTGCGTTAGTGGCAGTTTGACAGCACCGTGGGGACTTACATGGATAGGCAGAGTTAAGGGTAGAAAGGCAAGCTAAGTACAGTAAGCACACGAAGTAAGTAAGTAAAGAGGCCGGCGTACGAGACGCGAGAGAGAGAGAGAGAGACTATTTTAGAGTCTGTGCCCCACCGGGAGGGGGGGGGCTTGTTGGCTCGGTGTGTGGGGGTGGTATGTGAGTGTGTATGTGGCTTGCATTGCGTGCATGGAAAAAGGCGGTCAAGACATATAGTCTTGGACCACCAACTGACTACTTGTTGAACATTGGGAGTAGTTCACTCCGGTACCTGCGCATGGACTAGCTCAGGTAAGGGGGGGGTGGGGTGGGATGGGTTACGGGCAAGACAGGCCAGAACTTAGAGCAACAGAGAAGAAAAAAAATGTCGGTTAATCTGGTAAGGTGGTAGTCGGTCAGATGCAAGAGTTTACGGGATGTAGGTGAGTAGACATGGTGAGCGAGTTTTTTTTCTTCTCTCCCTTGTCTGTCTTTAGGTCTCTCTTTCGGTCTTGAAGGTCTTTCTCTCTTGGATTTTTCTAGGTTTTTTTGCTTTTCCACAACCCTCTTTCTCAATGTGGCTGATTTTAACGGTCTTGCTTCATTGATTCTTGCTGTTTCTTTTCTTTGTTTCTTTTTCTTTCGGGGAAGTCACCTTTTCTCGTTTATCTCCCGTGCTTTCCGCTCTTTTATTGTGTGTCTCTCTTTGCCTCACTCCTTCTCCATGGCTTCCGCTCTGTCTTGAGGAGAAAGAGGGGGGGGGGAAGAGACGAGAGACACGCGGATTAAAGTTGGGGTAGCGAGGGGAGAAAGCGGGGTTAGGATATAGATGTTATTAATCTGATGTGTTAAGATAATTGATTGATGCTTGTTGTATGGACGGGGACGGAGGAAGATGAGGCAAGGGTCCAAACTGTCCCGTTTGCTCATATTCCGCTACTCAAAGTGTGGTTGTGGTGGCGGACGGGTGGAAGGACGGCTGAGGACGATGGCTGGCGAGTGGTGGTGCGCGGGTGTGATGGGATATGTGTGTGCGCACATGCGGGGATTTTGCATCGTGCGTACTGACACTGGTTATCGATATCCGCGCATTCTTCTTTTGTTCTTCTTGTTCTTCTTTTTTTTTCTCCCGATCTCATTTCCCGTCTTTGCTCAATTATCGTCGATGATTTCTTTTTTCTTGGATCGACTAATCGATGGCCGATGCATCGCTTGTTCTTTCCACATTTGTTTTATTTTCACCGGCTGGCTGAGTTTCTCAATGTCTCTGTTTAGCTCGGGCTCGGATTTGGATTGACGAATGAATCAATTGGAGCTGCCATTTCACACGCTGCAAACAAGATATCAACAACATCAATCACATCAAAATAAACAAGTGAGAAACTAGCTTTAGCAAGTAAATATTGGTTTTGGATGACGTGGTTTGCGTGATGCAGTTAAATGTGGGGTATATGTGTGTGAATGTGTTTTTGCATGCATCTCGCATGGGAAGACGCACATGCATATTGCTGTCAAGCCACGACGTCCGTTTTTGGCGGTGTACATCGAATAAGAGGATTCACTTTGTTGAGACAAGTGAGGCGCGATGAGCAAATGCATGAGAAGGATGATTGGCCTTGTAGAGTTTGGCTACCAAATAATGTTTTTTCTACAGCTGGCTTCTGTTCAGCTGGGAGTCTGTGTAGCGAGAATCCACTGCTATGTTTCTCAGCTCCGGTAGTAGTATGGCCTAGTATGGTGAAGATAGCGCAGCTAGGCGGATATGCAGCAACTGCACGGGATCCTTGATCAGACGGACCTTTCCATCGGGATAAGCCAGCGGTGATCGAGAATCGATGCTCACGTAACCGTGAATCTGGCGGAACAATCCGAATCGCTCCAACGCCAGCAGCCAATAGCTATCACTCGGGCGTATTATGGCCATATGCTTCGGGCCGGATTCTACGTATGCAAATAGACGTTAAGCTGACGTTGGACTAGGTCTGCCGAGAAAGGATTTCGGAGAACAAGTGGACTGGGCAAAGATGTGTATGCGTGGAGAGACCGTGATCTGACCTTGGAGTCAATAAACCACCGACGAAATGGAGATAAGCGGGCTATCAAATCTGATGGCGTGTTTCAATCAAATGCGATGTTATGCCTCGGGTAGCTGAGAGGCTGGGGAGCATGAACGCCGACAAAGAGAGGATGAGATTGCACGACCTCACATTAGAAATCCTTCGCACCTACGTCGTTTTGCAGATAGATGCGCCACATGGTGAGAGGTGACGATTGATGGTTTCATCAGTGTGGAACAAACGGGTGGCTCGAGGCTCATCTGCCCGTGCTATCAGATCTGCTTTTCAAGCCGAACATGACTATGTATTTGCTTGTTCTGCTACCATTTTGTGCTTTTGCTTTCGGAGCAGCCGCGTCGCGAACAAAGCAAAAGTGGCTACAGCGTCACAATGACGTTTTTTCTCCTGGAATGCTTTGGCATTGACAAGCTCGGTGTCGCAAAAGGGCAGAGCAACAAAGAGTGTGTTCAACTTCACTGTGGGTGCGCAGCCGGAACCGGGTTTGCCAAGAAACATGAGAGATTTTCTGGGACCGAGAGTACCGCATGCGCCTGAGGCGTGTCGCGCGGTAGGCTCCTCGTATGTTTGTGCAATGCTTGTGTAAGTAGTCCGCCCACGCCTCGGCTGCTGTTACAAGTGATGGTGCGCGAAAACCGTGATCAAGGTTATGCAGACATGTGCGAAAAGTTAAGCGCGCAACAGAGGTTGCTTTTCAACAAGATGGAATCCGGTGATGGCTACCCTATCCGGTACGGACCATGGTTTGAAAGGCCCCTGCCGTGGTCACAGCTAGTGGGAGATGTTTAGGCTGTGGTGATGGCGGAACCATTGGTTGGATGCCACTCTAGCCTTGAAATTGGCCGAACGCACGCTCGGGACCCAAAGTTGGGAAGGGACATGGTCAAACAGCGTTGGTTGCCCCGGGAGCAGCCATCGACGATCGGTGCAGTAATAGCCGGGAAAAGTGCGGTGGTGGGTGAAGCATGCTAGTCAGCGAAAAACTCGTACGTGTGTGGTAAGGTGGAAAGCTAGGTTTTTTTTTTTCAACAAGCCGACGGCGCAGCGTCGTGCCCGACAAAGGAGTTGCAGGCTTCGGAGATTCTATGGACATGAGGCAGGATTAGGGGTGGGCCGCCAATCTATTTGCATGGGCTGTAACACGAGGATAGCACGGGAGAAGTGTTCTGGAAGAATGGGGGTCCCGGAGCAAATCCTGCTGGCGGTTGACGGCAACAGGTCGCCCAGCAAGGCGACGACTTGGTTGCAGGACGCTTGGGACATTTTCAGTGGGTTGACAGTCAGGGTCTGTAGAATGACAGGGCGCACAGGGCCATGCAAGAGGGGAACTGCTACATTTGGAGTGCGGACGCAGACACTCTTTCCCCCAAAGGGAGAGGGCGCACACACACATACAGAGAGAAAAAGCGTCGGCCCAATTTGGGTCAGAGTGGGCAAAAACTCTGTCGAGGACAAGAATGGGTCTATTGATCGAGGGCAAGCAAGTGCGCCGCGAAGAAGGTTGGCGGGAGAAAATAGAGTTTGGGCCTGGAGCACGCTGCCGTTTAGTCGATCAGAGCGAGGGAGGTTTGACGACGCGTCGGGCAGACCAGCGCAACCCCGCGCGGTGCCCTGCATGTGTCGAGGGCGGCATGGCTTGGGACTGTGGCGTTGGGATGATGGCATGACTGACATTCAGGACCACTTCCCCCCTGAGGAGCGAGGGTGCTATTGTCGCAGCGGGCACGAATTGGAGCGCCGCGAGAGGCAGGTGGGCAGGTTTGGCAGAAGGGAGATGTGGTCATATTCGCATGCCATGACGATGGGGGGAGCGCACATCATCAGCGCATCAAGGACGGTCCTTTTACTCGCCTATTCCTTGACTCGGACAGGGGATGGGTTCGACGGCGACAGAGACGGTGGCTGTTCCGGTGTGCCGCGGGAAGGCTAAAGGCACGCCTCGACAACCAAACCACGTTGACGGATGCGCACGACGGCATGGCTAGGCCGGGTTGGGGCGAATTGAGTAAGGCTGCATGAGAGGCGGCCAGGAACCTACCACGACAAATCAGGAACCGGGCGCCGGCGGAGCGACAAGGCAAGGGATGCGAAACGTGGGCCGCAGTGAAATGACAGCCTGATGCTGGCTTGGTGCCTGTGACGTTCCTGGCGCGCCCTTGGGATGCTGGGAGCTGGGATACGGGCGAGCCTGGGCGCACGCGACGGGGCTACGCGCACCAGCTAAGTGTGTATACTTTGTGCAACCGCGGGCGGGAGGATGGATGCATGGATGCATGTACACAAGACAGCGGCTTGGTGGATGGAAGGGTGCGGCGCGGGTTGCAAGGCGAGCTGCAGCGGGGTGGTGGCGGGCATGGAGGGTGGCATGGAGGGTGGCATGGTGGTGGGAGAAGCAACGGTGCTTATGCTGGAGGGCGAGGGATTGCGGTGAGGCCAGGGCTGTGCATTGCTGTGTTGTCCTGTGCTGTCGTTGTGCTGGGTTGGACTGGGCTTGGGGGCGGGGGGTCGCTGTTGTGCGGTGAATTAAGTATAGATGTGTAAGTGAGTATTGGATGGGCACTAGAGAGATGGGCTAGATGTGAATGTACATGCATACTGACACACAACGTAGTGAGGAAATAGGCAGGCAGGCAGCGTGGATGGCTGGGGCTGAGTACGAGGGAGAGCGCCTGCACATTGACACGCATCAGCCCCCATGCATTCATTCACAGACAGCGACACAGAGTAATGCATGCACGTGACTGACTGGACTGACTGGGCACCACTGACCTGTCGGGAAAAGGACGCGCAGGGGCCCAATGAAAGGGGGAAAATAAACAGCATTTCGCGGCCACTTTCGCCTGCCCCCATGTCCGCTCGACCCGCTAGCCCGCTTCGGCGCGCCCAACGCTCCTTTCTGCTAAGCTTGGAACAGCCCTCGCGCCGTCCTTCACCACTCGCCCCGATCCCGTCGAACAGTCAGCCACCCACCACCCCTCCCTCCCACACCCACACACACTCCCCCCCAGTGCCCTCATCTCGCGCCATTCACCCTCGCATCCGTCTCCCCCCCAAACAGACGCCACATTGCCCAGCTAAACTAACTCTCGTTCCTTCACTCAAAAACCAACAGCCCTGCGTCGTCATGCCTCCTGCTCCCGCCCTGACTGACCGCCATACTGATACTTCTGCCCTCCCCCGCCTGGTCTCGCCGTGCATCTGCTTCGCGCGTTAGCTAAGCCCACCCCGTCGCGTCTCTCCGCCATCTGCCGCCTCTGCTGCCAACGCACACAGCAGAGACCGCCCTCACCACAGCAACAGACCGGCTCCTGGCCCAGCAGACCGCACTTGCCCCGTCTGGGCGGCGCGATCTTCATTATTACGACTCATAACCCTCTCGGAGCGCCGCTTCCACTCTAATCTCTTGGGTCTAGCCTCGCGACTCGTGCTAACGCCCATTTGCCGCACCCCTTGCTGTCTCTCATTATACACGCCCGTCCATCAATCACATCCACGTGTGAGTAGCCTGGAGCGTCTTCGTGTGCGTCTTGCCCATTGCTGCGTCACGTCTCGCTCCCGTTAGACCGTCGTGTCTTCGAACCACGCCCCCCTCCACTCCCGCCAAATCACCTGCGCCTAGCCAACCTCGCCCTCCTTCACTTGACATTCCATAATCCACATCCCTACTCCCCCGAACGCACAGGCGCGCTCCAATCTCCCAGCCCGATCATTAAGCCAGTCGAGCTATGATCACAAAGTCATTCCGCTTTCATCTTCACTAGAACTTCCTGAGCTACGGAATACTACCCGTCTACCGTGGTCCCGGGCACGTCTCCACACGTCCTCCCAACCGTCGTCTCTCATTTTCTCGACATTCCCGCACCTGCATCAACCTGGACCCTTACAACACCCTCCTATCGCATCTCACCCTTCGATACGCACTGAACTCCCCCTCCCCCTCCAGCTTGTCGACACATCATCCCCTCTACCTCTCTACTGGACCACCTTGTCGTCACTCACCACAAACTCGATTCCTCGAATGACATGAACTAAACCCGTCCCGCCATCAAACACCACACCGTCCCAAGGACTTGTTCTACAGGCCAGTCTCACTCTACCCGTGACATGGTCTCACCTTCTCCTTTCTAACAACCCTACAGTCCTTTTTCAATCAGGAGCATCTGCTACCAACAGATCTTCTAACACACAGATCCACTGCATACTCACATCAAAATGCATCCAGAATCACAAGTCCAGCCTCACGGCTGGGCATCCCTCGAGGAGAGGTATGAAGTGATGAAGGAGATTGGCGACGGCAGCTTCGGTAGTGTCGCACTTGCCCGCGTCCGAACTGCTGGCTCTCACATTGCCCGCCGCGGCACACTAGTAAGTACACGATGACAACAGTGACATGGACCCCCCACCGACTGACGCGCTTTCCAGGTGGCCATCAAGACCATGAAGAAGACATTTGATTCATTCTCAAGCTGCCTTGAGCTACGAGAAGTCATCTTCCTGCGATCACTACCACCACACCCTCACCTGGTACCAGCCCTGGACATCTTCCTGGATCCTTACACCCGTAGGCTCCACATTGCCATGGAGTTCATGGACGGCAATCTGTACCAGCTCATGAAGGCTCGCGAGCACAAGCCCATGGACGCACACAGCGTGAAGAGCATCCTCTTTCAGATCATGTCCGGACTGGAACACATTCACGACCGCGAGTTCTTCCACCGTGACATCAAGCCAGAGAACATCCTCGTCTCCACATCGCAACAAAACGACACATCGCACCCCTTCCGCCGATACTCCGCCATGATGACACCGCCATCGACACCACCAGTATACACGATCAAGATTGCCGACTTTGGACTCGCCAGGGAAACCCACTCCAAGCTTCCTTACACTACTTACGTTTCGACCCGGTGGTACCGCGCTCCCGAGGTTCTGCTGCGGGCCGGCCACTACTCAGCACCAGTTGATATTTGGGCCGTTGGCGCCATGGCTGTTGAGATTGCTACATTGAAGCCGCTGTTCCCTGGTGGAAACGAGGTCGATCAGGTATGGAGGGTGTGCGAGATCATGGGCAGCCCTGGAAGCTGGGTCAACAAGAATGGTCAGCGAGTTGGCGGTGGTGAGTGGAAAGACGGAGTCAAATTAGCACAGAAGCTGGGCTTCTCTTTTCCCAAGATGGCACCGCACTCGCTCGACACAATCCTCCCCTCGCCCCAATGGCCAGCCAGTTTGGCCCAGTTTGTCACATGGTGTCTCCTATGGGATCCCCGAGCTAGGCCTACATCCCGACAGGCTCTCGAACATGAATATTTCCAGGATGCCGTTGACCCCCTACGGCTCAAGTCTTCTTCCTCGCGACTTTTGGGCCGCAAGGGCTCTGAACTCTCTGGAAAAGACTCACCTGAGGCCTCACCCAAGCTCACATCAAAGACGTCCTCGTGGCTCCGTCGATCGTTGGTCGCTCGTGAGAGTGCCCCAGCAGTGCCTCAGCACAGCACTGTGAAGCCCCTATCACCTGCACAAGCCAGTTCTGGTGATGCGAGTGGGTCGACTAAGCAACGTCCCAATGCCACTAAGCGAGCTACGTGGACAAACGGGGCTTCCAACAATGGCGCGCCTATCCCCATTCTGCCTTCGATTAAGCCAATCTCACCGCTTTCTGCCGAGGTGACTGCACAAGCCAATGTTCGTGCCAACAACGAAGAGCTGGCTGCAAAGAAGATTGGTCGCCAGCTGTCTGTTGCTTCACACGGCAATCACTACGCAGACATGCACCGCCAAGAGGCCGAGCGGGCACTGAATGGTCACTCCGACGTTGCTTCTCCTGTCAGTGGACACAAGGAAGGTTTCTTCTCACACCTCAGGAAGCGCGCTCGACGCTTGTCAGGTCGGTACCAAACCCCGATGTCGCCGAACTCGGATGACATTGAGGCCAACGCCGGATGCGCACCCTGGGCCACTGCCAGCAGCAGCGCTAGGCAGTCTTTGATCATGGAGCAGTCACCAGCTCCAGCCCCGTCAGCCTCGACCTCGGACTTTTCTGAACTAGACAAGGCGTTGCAGCATGTAAGAGACAGCGTAGAAGCCCATTCCCAACAGGCTGGTTCAATAAAGAGTTCGCGCGTTGCATCGAATCCCATGCTTAAGCGCCACCACTCGGTCCCACATGGACCTGAGCCACGAAACGGAGAGACGAGTGGCGGTGCTCCTATTTCAAGCAGGACACGTCGTGCGCTTCAAAACAAGTCGAACCCGTCCAATCGGTACGAGACACCAAATGAAGAAGAGGAGCTCCTCAGCGAGGTCCTCGCATCAACCCACAAGGCTGCGAAAAAGCTGGACAACGAAAAGTCTGGCCCTGCTGCATCTTACCTGACACCCTCACCGTCGTCAAACCGAAACAGCGTCGGTTTTGGGCAGTCGGCGTACGCGACCCCCAGCAAGCCCATGGACATCTCCAAGACTCGCCCCAACGACAACGACTCCGTGTCCAAGTGGCCAACACCACCATCCGATGGCGATCTGGATTGGGCTTCGAGTGTCGCGGCTAGCCTCATGGCTGCCCAAACCCGACACCGATGATATCCAACCGTACGGGACCCGTACTTCCTTTCGCCTTGCCTTCGCTGCATGTTCCTTCATCCGTATAATTGTAATTTGGGTCACCGTACCCGCTCCTTGTCGCTTCCTATACGACCCTACGACCTTGAGCTCTCCCGTCTGGAACGGTGCACGATTACAGAAAGATAGACACAGACGCGATGCGCTACAAAGCCCTCAAAAGCAAGCGCATCTTCTAGGACGGTGTTATAGGCGTCATAACACATCATCATCGTCCTTCGCGCCCCCCACCATCATTTGACCTTTTCGCAACAGGAATAGTTGCCCTTTTCACTCTCACTTCCACATTCGTTCTGTAACAACACAACACATTTTCCTTTTATCAATCATCTTCTCGGGCGGCATCTTACTTTCAACATCTGGTGGGCAGTACCCAAATATCGTGTTATTTTGGGGGAAAGTATCGAGACTTCGCACATTTGGCGGACATAGCACACGCCAGTGACTCCCCATGCAACATGGTTTGTCGGGTTGAGCCCTGGCTTTTCAGTTTCGGAATCTGTTTTTTTTTCGGCGCACGCCCGCGCCATGTTCAAGTAGGCAACGGCGCAGAGCGTCCTCTCTCATTATACCTTACTAGACCGAGTGTTTTTTTCTCTTTAACTGTGCTTCATTTCGTTGGCGGATACCCCAATTTGTGTATTTGGCGAGTACCTCACATCACACATTACCTTCTTACTATATATCCTTGTTTGGTTAAATGGGGAGAGGGGAGGGGAAAAGAAGGAATCTGGACTTCTTTGGAATAACTTTGGTCATACACTGGTTGGTTGGTGGGTAGTGGTGGGTCGGTGTTTGTTGTAAAGAATAACTTTGAGCGATCAACTGCCTTCTTCCCTCTACATACATTTTCTCTCTCTCTCTCTCTCTCCCATCCTCACTCTCTCCTTGCGTCCTATCTCACAAAAATGCAATACACTGTCTTGTTGCTTTGCGTTTTTCGTCATCTCCTAGCGTCTCTTTGTTTTCTTGCATCCTTTTTCTTGCGTCCTTTTTTTTCTCCTCGCACTTTCTCACCCCATAGTGGCGACTCAAAACCTTGTAATATTGTAATACGGACGGACATAGTATATTTTGTATTATAGCCCAGGATGGCTTTTCAGTCCAGTTCCCATACATCAAA